TTGATTTTTGGTAAAAAATCGGCAATTTTCCAAAAATATTTTTTCAAAGGTCCGCCATTTTGTTAATTTTAGAGCGAAGTCAATAATCCTAGTTCATACGAGAGCCAGACATGTACTCTTTCTAACACCGTTGGAATTTTCGGATTCCGATGTTCCAGTGAGGAGTTATCATGCCCGCCATCAAAAATGAGGACTTTTCTTTAATTACAAAAAACAACAACAAAATAATAACAAAAATTTTTTGTAAATTATTTTTCTTCTCTTTTAAATCTTCAATTATATATGTGCAAAGTTACAAACCTTAACAAGCACTTGTATTCATTTACCAGCCAATTGAAAATCTTGAAAAATTAAAATCGAGAATGGAGGGGGTTCCCTTAAACAAGTTTTCGTAGAAAAGAAATTTAGTAGCAAAAAATACCCCATGGGAAAGAGGATGCCTCCAACTCACGGCATGTCACATGACGGTATCAATGTTCTGTGACACAACAGCCGTTTTTGGGTGACGAGTGTCCACAAGCTTTTTATGGTGATATAGAATGGGGCTTCATCGCCATAAGTTCTTGGTGAACTCTTGTCGTGATAATCCATATCGAAAAATGTGAAAAATTATAGCACTATTACAAAGAGTTAATACATTTTTGCAAAACATGTTTTATGGTCGTGTGTCACAATATACTGAGAAAGGTTATGTTGAAAAATTTCGAACTTCCAATCAAAATATCACATAGAACCAGGTAGCGATAGAATTATAAAATAACTCTGGTATATGTAGTGGGAAACTCCTGAAGAATATAAAAATTTTCCGATTGAGCTTAAATAATTTCAAAAGATTGCATTAGATCAATAGTAACTTAATTTCTAGAATAGTTCAGCACACTTTCCACATTAATTTTTTATAGTTAATAATTTTCTTTTATACATAACTAATCAACAAACACATTCTACAAATCATGCAAAATACATACATACGATAATTTCATATTATTAATAACAAACAAATGGTAAAGATTTTCATTAAACAATTGAACAAAATATCACAATACGTTTAAAAATTAGTATTCCTTTAACAAGGAGTTGGGGAAAACAAATGTATATAGTTATTATTTATTTATATCTAGGTTTTATTTTATTTTTTTTTATACTATGGCACTAACTATAACTACAACACATATAAAACATATATATATATATATTTATATCATATATTTGATTTATTATTTTAATATTATTTATTTTTTTATCAATTATTATTTTTTGTTTATATTATTATTAATCTGGGATAATTTTGGCATCATAGAATGTATTACACTTATAAAAATAATACTTTTATTTAATTTCCTTTTAATACTGTTTTCTATAATTTGATTTAACGGCCAGTCGCATGATGGTAAACGAAATTCTTCGTTAACCTTTGGAGGACCGGCCAATTTGTTAATATATTTTTTGTTTTCAAACTTAACATATTTTTTTTAATTATTATATTCTCCTTATATTCTCTAAAGGTTATTATGGAAGTTTATCTAGCCTTTGTTTCGTTATAGAATTTCTTTTTGTGTTTATTCTATTTTGCAGAAACATTTTTTTGTTTGGTTTCTTCTTTGTTTATACTTTCTAGGTACTTTTGATTTACTAGGTTTTGTGTATTAGTTTTACTTTTTCATTTTTCGATATTCTTTAACTATGCATTTTTCTTAGCTATTGTAAATATAATTTAATAATATTATGTGTTATTTTTATTTTAATAATAATAATAACAAAAAATATTGTTTGTGGTAACAAAAATAATTGTTAACATTATTCTCTCAATCCCTGACTTCTCGTATATTGTTGCCGGTTTTTTGTTGTAACTATATATTTCGGTATTTGATTTCCAATTCCAAACCTTTGGCGGTACAAAACAGTTAGGTTATAAAAAATAGTAAAAAACGTGTAGTCTTCATTTCCAAGGAAGTCAAGTCACAAGTATTAAGTGTTTTTGTTTATAAACTGTGCGGAATAGTTTCGAAATTTTGCAACAGGAATTATTTTCTTTTAATTTATTCACAGTCGTCCCACATTTTCTCTCCTCCTCTTATACAAAGGAAGCTCTCAGTATTTCCAACCAAGTGTCACAATTATCTTCCTATTTTATAAAAATTTTAATCTTACTACTATTTTTTTATTTGAGTTAAAAATGTGTATTTATTTTATTACTCATCATAAAATTTCTCAAAATTGATTTTATAAATATTTTCTAAAAATTTGTATTCTCTAAAAAACGTGTTTTAACAATCTATTAGAAATTTTAGTGTACCGCTCTTCTTAGCACAATCCCATGTCCGATTCTTTTTGTAATTTGTTTTAGGTTAAACTGAGTTGCCATATCTATTCTATTTTAAGTAACATAGTTGCATATTAGGTAATGTTGTTTTAGTTTTTTTATAAACACTTTGTATATAAAAATTATTAATTTGACATTTTAAACTAAATCTTATTTATACTTAAACTTATTTTAAATTTATTGTTAAAAACTTAGTGCTTCAAGGAATCTAGAGGGATTGGGGAGGTCGGTTATTAAGCTTGTACATAATAATTTGGGAAGTACGCTTTATACACTCCACAAGTCCATGCCATACCATGTCAAATTTTTGGTAGATTTGATAAACAATGAAACCCCCAATCGTTTCCAAAGTCTCTAAAATATCGAACAATAAGGGTGCAATAATATGGAGCTTCCCGTATCCTGTGTCAATTTTTAGTATGCTATTATTCTACCCAATGTTATTATATTCTACCAAATGGGAAACCAAAATATAGAGTTGGGCTTCCTAATTACTAACGCTTTACTTTATTTTTCGGTTCGCAACGCAAAAGGAAGTAGGTCATTCATTCAGTTCTATAGTTCCTTTTAGTTCAACTGTTAGATGAACGATTGAGTCAAAAGTTGCCAGATGAACAAAAAAAAAAAAAAAAAATTAACCTAGTACCGATCGTTTCTGATACGGAATAGTTTCCTTGGCAACGCTTGTCCCGGTACAACACAGCTCTAAAAAATACTAAATTAAAGCTAACAAACTTCTGAAAATACCGAAATTTCGGAGGACAAATATTGATAATTTCTGATAACAGACGAACAGACATGCGTAAATTGTCCTAAAATTTTATTCTAATAAAGAATTCAAATTAAATATGCACTCCACCTTATGGGGAATCAGCCTTCGTGAAAGGACTGGATTATTGCTTCTAAAAGAATACCGTTCATGTATGCTTGGTAGGCCTGATTATCTAGGAGGGATGATTCCGTCGAAAGCACTCAGGAAGGAACTGCATTGACAACATCATGTTGCCTTGCATGTGTGCCTGAAAAATTACTTCTAAACAATATAACAATGACATAATTAGGGCATGTATAAGTCTCTTCTTTTCATGGTAGGGTAAAAATAAGTCTGTATTTTATATTGCCTTAAGGCATAGTTCGTATCAGCAGCTACCATATCAATGTGTAAATCAAGAGAAAACTTGTCATCCAATATTACTCCCAAACACTCCATATTATGTACAAATGATATATTCACTTCTTTATACTTTAAATGCAGATTGGGTATATTCCTATCGATTGAACTAGAAAACATCATTGCTGTAGTTTTAGACGGGTTTACGTGAAGTCAGGAAGTACAATTTTTAATTACAATAGATTGATGGATCTATAATCACCTGAAAATAGTAATTGCACGATATCAGCATAAGTGTAAGGAATACACCAATTCTCCCACCACATGTACAAGTCATTTTAAAATCTTATCTTCTAGTTCTATCTGTTAAACCTGCTAGTAACATAGATGGGTTTCTGCCTTTTCGAAATCCAAACTGACAATCACTTTACATTGACTTTGTACACTTTGTTAAATACTTCGTTCAGTTAATAAAATGAACTTCATACACAGCTCTTTTAAGAGAATCGTTCAATTGAACTTAACAACTCTGCGGCGGGAATAGGTTCTGTCAATCGGCTCTTGTTCACAATGCTTTCTGGTAAAATTCTCGCTTGGTTTCTTGTTCCTCTGCGAGAAGATAAAATAGCAGAGACAGATGTGTAATATAGCATTTACGAATTTTTACAGAAAAAAATTACATCAGTATCATAGCCAGATATATACACATAATCTATTATTATATGATATATTATGTGAAGAAGGAACACGTGAATACCGCGGAACATGCTCATAGACGCCAGAATCCATTCCGAGAAAGAACAACTATGGAACACAGCATTACACTTATTAATAGAGAATATTAATCCTGGTACTTGAAAGTAGAACTGTCAAAAGTGTACCTCATGAAAACGTTCTTATTGCTCCAGGAAAAGTTCGCCGACCAATAAATATGATAATTTTCTCTGATTCTGAAGAATTAGCCATTGTCTCTATATATTGCTGCAAGAAAAAAGCGTTCCTGTACGGAAACTTATTTTAAAATCGATCCGGACTCTATGGTAGATGAAATACTGAATCATTATCTTCATAAAAACAGTTGACAACATCGGTATATCCAAGGATTGGGTTTCAAATTTATCATTCTCTGAAAAATCTCGATTGATTCGAAATGATCCAACAACAACAAAACAACTCTTAACCGAAACCGACGGATGATATCCTCCTTTTATTAACTATATCTTGTAATAATTAGCCATAGGTGAATATTACGAGGGATGATATTCTCCCTTAATTATCTATAACTTGTAATAATGTCCCATAGGGTATGAAGCCTTAGTTGAAAAAGCCCAGAAACTAGTTCCGATTACACTTCGCTAGATTTCAATAAGTCTTTAAAAAATCCCCAAAAATTGTGTATGCAAGCTAAATAACACTACCTCCTCCTAATCCTCTTTGTTCCATGACAGCACTTATTTTGTTGTGATAACTTGAGTAGACACCATTCAATTCGAATTAAATAATTTGATTTTTACAGAACACTATTTTTATGGGGAATTTTAGGGGGGTAGAACATTATACTTAACACTACTTGGTAGATTTGGCTGCCGAGGTGGCAACACTTGTGGCTGTGGCGCTATTTGTAGTTGAAGTTTTGGTTGTCGCTGCTGTAGTGCTGGTGGTGGTTGATGGCTTTGCTGATGTGGTTGATGCAGAGCTTGTGGTAGTTGATTTTGGCGCTGTTGTGGAACTTGTGGTTGTTGTTTTAGCTGTTGTTGTGGCATTTGTAGTTGGTGTCTTTGCTGTGGTTTGAGATTTTGTGGTAGTGGTTGCAGCTGACTGTGACGGAGTTGTAGTTGCAGATGTCGCTTTGGGTGTTGTTGTCGTTTTGGGAACAGTTGCCGCTGATGTCGTTTTGGTTATTGCAGTTGTGGCAGGTGTTGTAGATATGCCACCACTTGCCGCTGTGGTGGTGGTAACATTTGTGGTTGTTGCTTTTGTTAGGGTTGTAGAAAATGTTGTTGGCTTTTGTATTGTGGTTGTGGAAATGGGTTTATCATTGGATGTTACCACAGATGTTTTGGCAATTTTCGTAGGTGCTGTCTTGGTAACAGCAGCTGCATTAACTTGAGTGGTGATGCTGGCTGTGGTCGCTTGAGATATCGTTGCTTTTGCTGAAGTTTGTGGTGTTGTAGTTGTGGCAGCTATTGGCTTGGTGGATGATATTTTATCCGAAACTGTGCTAGCGGATTTTTGTGTTGCTGGTTGTGTCTGCGAAACGGTAACGGAGGAACTGGCCTTGCTACTGGATGTTGCCGGGGTTGTGGAAGAAACGGACGATGTTGTTGTGGTTGCTTGCGATGTTTTGGTGACAGATGGCGTTGATGTGACTGTTTGTGGTTTTGTGGTAGCACCTACTGACGCTGATGATTTTGTAGCATTAGCTGTGGTTGGGGTAGTTGCTGTCTTACCTTGGCTAGTGGTGGTGGTGGAGGAAGTAGTTGTTTTACTTGCTAATGTAGAAACAACTTTTGTAGATGTCGCTGCTGTAGTTGTGGATAAGGTAGAGGATGATTTTCCAGTTTCCACATTTGTTGATGGACTTTTTCCAGTCGCCGTTTTTGACGAAGTTGTGGGGGTTACAACTTTACTTGCAGTTGAAGATGATGCCAAGGGGACCGGTGTTTTCGTAGAGTCAACTAATGTAGTAGGCCGACCACCGCTAGTGGATACTACCATTGTTGATTTTAATGCTGTGGCCGATGATGTAACATCCTGACCTAATGTGACCTTTGGCGTTGCTGCATTTGTCACTAACTTATTATTACTCACCCCAACACCACCTGTCGTCACCTGTTGCTGGCTTGTAGCTAATGTAGCTGGTATTGTAGTTGGTGTAGTGGTTGTGGTGGTGGAAGTTTTAATGGCAGCACTTTTATTAGTTGGATCACTAGGTTTGCCCCCGACAACGGCCGTTTGCAGGGGTTTGGTTACACAATTAGCCACAGCCGCTGATTTTGTAGTCGTTGTAAGGCTTAGATCGGTTGTCGATACAACCTGAGTTTGAATTTTGCTACCACCACCGGGATCGGTTTTAACCACTGTCGGCTTTGTTATCGTTGCAGCCGCCGAAGTTATTGGTTTAGCTGCAGTTGTTGTCACGCTGGTTGTGGCAATGCCGATAGAGGCCACTGGTTTTGTGGTTGTTGTTGTCACCGTGGGCACCATGGTCACAGCAAAGGATGTGGTTGGCGTGGCCACCATACCACCATTGATCACATGTGTGACCATCGTTGTTGTTGTTGTACTGCCACCAGTAGACGATTTTGTATTAACGATATCGGTTATCGTTGGCTTGGCAGTTGTTGTGGCAAATGTGGTTAAGGTCTTAAGCTCGCGACCACTATCAGCTGTGCCGGCTACCACCAGTTTGGCTGCAGTGCTCGTTGTTGTTGTTGGTATTAAGATTTTCGATTGTGTTGTTATCGATGTTGCCGCCGTTGTGGGCAATACTATTGTGGCAGTTACTTTGGTTATTTTATCGCTAATCGTTTCGGTGGCCAGCGGTGTGGTCTTTTCATTGAGGAAAGACACCACACTGTCGTTGGCCCGTAATTCAGCCTGTATTAAAGGCTGTTTGCTGGGACTTATTTCAGGTGGTGGTTTACCGCCACCACCAGCACCTCCGCTATCCGAGGCTTTAGCTGACTTTGATTTTAATATGCTGGGTCCTGGTTGACAGGTGTTGGCTGGGGCGGTTTTAATGGCCACCATGGGACCGGTATCCGGTTTCTAAAACAAAAATACATTAGATATTTAATAAAATCCATTAGAATATCACTTACACTTCCATTTGCCTCCTTGCTTCGTTCATTTTTGCCATTGACACTCGATGTCGCCGTGGTCATAGTAATAGTACCGGCATCAGTCATTTGCTTGGGGGCAAATGTTGAAGTTGATGCCATAGCTCGCTCTCAGAGCTGCATTGCTTCTTTCTGACTACCAATACCAATGCTAGTACCATCACCACCAGCTCCACGACTACTGCCAGCACCAAATGTGGTACCATTATCTTCAAAGGGTAACACCTCTGGCATGGCCCCTTCCATCAGACTGGCTGTATTTTCATTTTGATAACGATCTGGATATAAGCAGGGTCGTCCAGCAGGACCCCATTCCTCTGTTGGCTTTAACAAGAACACAATACGATCTTTGATACCCAAATGTTCGGGTCCATTGTAGATTTGTTTAAATGCCACCAAAAATATGACCAACACTGGTAGGAGACCAATAACCCAGCCAACAGCATCAGCCCACAATGGGTAGACGTATTGACCATATGAGGCTGGCTTATATTCAACCCAATTGAAGAATAGGATGAACTGGAAAACGGAGGATGATAAAATTATAAAATGTTGTTTAATGAGGGTAAAAATATATTAAGAAGTCAATATAGTAGTATTTTGTAGGGTATTGCCAATTTCTTATAGGGCGGTAAATACGATGATGGCAATACTTATATGATACAATAAGTAAACCTGGCGACCAATATTGTAGAAGAAGTGTACAAGGACTATGCCCACAAAAAGATTAAGAAGCTACAATTATCCAGAATGAACCGGAAAATAGAAAGTTACAATAGTTGGGTGCCCCTAAAGAAAATCGGGTCCTCAACTCCACTTCCTTAGACGCAGCAGCAAGAATGGTCCACGAGAAGCAATCAGCTAAACCTGTGACTATCTTCCCGCTCCGAAGTCAAAGAAGGCTGTGCCGAGAATCCATCAACAGAGGGCGACAAGGTTGGCAGAAGTACAAAGAACACGAGGTCAGTCACAGAATCATCGACATAGCCTGGAAATGTAGGTAATAGGAATATCCGGGTAATATGCAGCAAACACTCGTCCGAAGCCGCGATTTTACCAAAAGTAAGCCTAGTGAAGTGAGCAAGGACTATGCCCGCAAGAAAACAAAGAAACTGCTATCTGGAATCAACGGCTAAAATTCTCCAGAATTAACCGGAAATTTAGAAACTTATAATAGATGGGTGTTCCTAAAGAACATTTTGACCTTAACTCCACTTCTTCAAACGCAATGGCGAGAATGCCCCGGAAAAACAGAATGTGAAGATCTTCCCGCTCCAAAGTCAAAGACGACTGTCCCAAGAATACATTATTTGAGGCCGACAAGGCACGACAACAGCACGAGCACATAATCTTCGTTATAGCCTGAAAATCGTAATAGGCACTTCCGGGTAATATGAAGACAACGAGTAAATGGCAGCAGCACACAATGCCAGAGAGAATTATCGGGAGAAAAAGAAGAAAGAAAAAGAAAAACGTGACCGTGAACAAATCGAGATGTACTGTAGTCAGAATGAAGTCCGAAAATTTTATCAAGGAGTAAAACACAGAACCGAATAATACCCCATTGAGTGTATACTACCTAGCCAAGATGAGATCAGCATATCAATTAATCAAATGAAGAATAATAAAGCAGCAGGTGCCGATGGATTACCAGCCGCACTATTCAAAGCCGGTGGTCTGACGCTGATCATGAGGATGAACCAACTGTTTAGTACAATATGGCTTGAGGAATGCATGCCCAATGGTTGGTACCTCAGAATCCTGTGTCCCATACACATACCAGTAAGGAAAGTTCAAAAGTCGGACGGGACCGACTATATGATACCCTTCACCACTATGGGTACATGCAAGACATGTTAATATCTACAATATCCTGTAGATACATCGGATAAATATTGGCAGTATGTTGCTCCATTTACATAAAATCGGACGAAACTATATAAAGCATATTTAGATATATATCTGAACCGATTCCAACAAAATGTTGCTTCAGTCGGACCACTATTGGGAGTTTGGTGCACTATTTACATTAAATCGGACGAAACTATACATCGGAGCTATATCTAAATCTGAAGCGATTTCAACAAACCTTGGCATATAACTATCTAGACCTAATTCAATACTCTGTGCAAAATTTTGTCTCAATCAGATTACTATTGGGAGTTTGGTGCATCAATAAGTTAAAATCGGACGAAAATATATATGGGAGCTATATCTAAATCTGAACCGATTTTCTCCAATAGGGTTCGTTCTTGGGCCAATTAAGTGACCTGTGCCAAATTTCATCCAAATCGGATCATAAATGCGACCTGTACTTTGTTAACAAAAATACATGGACGGACGGACAGACAGACTGGCATGCATAAGTCGACTCAGAAAGTGATTATATGCATATTCTCAAAAGGAACCATGGGTCTATCTCGATTATTTTTGCCTGTTACAAACATATGCACAAAGACTTAATACCCTGTACCACAGTGTGGTGAAGGGTATAAAAATGAGATAAGACTATATGTGGCAACTATAGAGGAATTAGCCTCCTTCCCATCGAATATAAAGTGTTAAGCAGGGCGCTGTGTGAACGACTGAATGCGCTTTCAGACCTGGTAAATCCACTATAAAAGCGTTCTACCTTCTTGCAAAATTAATACGGCTATACAGGATAACTTCAACTGGCACAAGGTCAGCAGTTGAAGTCGGAAAGGACCTCTTGAAGGCCGTCAATACCGAAAAAGGATTCAGATTCAGGAGTTTGTCGTGTGACATCCATTTAACATCATGCTGGAAAAGGTCAAACGAGATGCCAAGGTAAACATAAATGACACTCTGCACACCAAACAGCACCTTTTACTCGCATACGCCGATTACATCGATATAATGGGTCGAAGATTACGAGCGGTAACAGCCCCCTTTGAATGAATTGAGAATGAGACTGCCAAAGCCGGACTGGCAGTAAACGGCTAAAAGACCAAGCTGATGATATCAACGTGCAAGACGTCCAGTAGACTCGGATCAACTGCGTAACTTGGGAACTACAGCTTCGAGGTAGTCAAGGATTTTATATACTTCGCTACCGCCTTTAATAAAACTAATGACATCCGTTTTAAAATCCGGAGAAGTATAGTGTTGGCCAACAGATGTTACTATGGTCTGAGTAAGCAATTCAAAAACAAAGCCACTACTCGCTGACCCAAGTCATACTCTACAAGACGCTGCTTCAGATCAATACATCAGCACGGGTAGTAGCTGGTGTATGGATCTAAAGCATGGGTAGTTGCGCAACCAGTTGAGGCAGCTCTTGGAGTGTTTGAGAGAAAAATTCTCCGAAAGATCTTTGGGCCGATCTGCCTCGACGGTAAATATCGCTGTCGAATGAACCATGAGTTGTACAGCGTATTCTAGGGCATCGATATAGTCAGGCGTATCGAGCTCCAGAGACTACGGTGGCTAGGTCATGACTTATGGGACAAATGTTCGGTCTCAAGTCAGTTTTCTGTTGGTCCTAAGGGAAACCACTTTATCAGATGCGGCGAGGATAAAAGGTCTTCGGGTCGAGGACGATTGAAATTCACATACAACTAGAAGCAAGCAGTACTTCCTCGTGTGAGAATTGATCTAAGCTTGTGAGGAAGGAAGACTTTCCACGGTTACAGGATGGAACTGTATTTGTAAGCGGATTGAATAGCGAATTAACAACAGAACACATTTTGGAGGCCTTCGGCTTACAATAAATAAAAATAAAAACACTACAAAGACGGGGTTAATAAAGACAACAAGAGAATTCTGCAGTATATCGGGATTCATTTCTCGAAGTTCGGAGGACTAGTTAAAGAATACATAAACACTGAAATGTAAAGTTTTACAAAAAATTTCATTTTCTTCGAAAAATCCAACATGACAAAGGAGTTCCCAAAACTTTACAATAGAACAGAGCAAACTGAAGCAAATTCCGCTTCAAATTTTAACAATTTATATTAAGTGTAACTCTTGAAAATATTCGCCTGGCTTGGCAGATTAGTTTATTTTTGGTACAACATCTAGGGGAATTGTTATTTAAGAGGTCAAAGGTATTTCCTGGACAATATGTATATTTTCTCTTACTTACCAATAACGTTGCTGGTGTCACAAAACGCCACATACCGGACCAAAAATAGTTCCACATTTTCGAACGTTTACCAATCATACCTTGGATATCATTTAAGAAATTCTGTGAACCATATATCCAGGCAATGAGAACACATTCAGATATGGCTATCAATAAGACAGACCAATTGGCTGCATATTTGTCCATCAACTGCAGCCAATACATGCCGCTCTAGAAGAAGAAAATAAAAAGTACATTAAGACAACTTGTATTTGTAAAAATTCACACCCCGACTTACATTTGTGGTAAAGCCCAAGCCGCCAACATAACCAAATATTCCGACAAATAGTACAACCCATGTTTTGTATTGTCTTAAATTTGGAAATTTATCCAAAATGGCAGTTGTAACAGTTTCCATTAAGGCGAACTTGAAGAAAAAAGAATATGGAATAAATAAATCCAAAAGGGAATAGAGGGAGTATGGATCTTACCTGTGAGTCCAAACCCAATGTCAGAAGCATGACAAAAAATAATACCGACCAAACGGGAGATATTGGTAACCGGGTAACCACTTCTGGATACACTATAAAAGCCAAGCCAGCACCTTGATCCACTACCTTTTCGACTTCCACATCCAATTCGTGAGCCAAAAATCCAATAATTGAAAATATAACTAAGCCAGCAAAGAATGAGGTGGCTATATTACAAAAGGCCACAATGAGAGAATCCCTAGGGAAGAAAACAACAAGAGAATATAAATGTAAAAAAAAATCTGATAAAAATATATAACAATACGCAGAAGGGGAAAGTCACGACTTCGATGGAAAGATCCCGTGGAAGATAATATGTCAAAACATGGTCTTTCAGATTGGAAATACTGTGCTCAGGACTGACGTGACTGGAAATCATTCTTAAGCTCGGCTTATGGAACTAATGTTCAATCTCGAGCCAGCTAAGTAAGTAAATAGGTAATAAAATGGGCTAAGGTGGTGATTTTATTTTGCTGTGAAAATATGGAATGAGATCAACAAAATTTTCGAACAGATATTAAAATTTCATTGATTGACTTTACATTCTATGGCCACTAAATTTTAAATCTGATTTGATCTACTTTCATTCCATATCTTAAATATTTAGAATCAAAATCCATATCATTCTCGTATAGACTTCGAATTCCATGTCCCCACCTATCCCCTCATACTTACTTGTAACAATTATTCGAAAATTTATTATACGATGACAAGGTAATTAGGCCACCCCAAGCTGGACTTAAGGCAAAGAAGATTTGTACTGCAGCATCGCCCCAAACCTGAAAAGAGTATTACAAAACAATCCTTTATAAAAAGTAACAATTCTTACATTTCCATATTTCACCTGGGCATTTGCTAATTGATTAAAATCTGGTGTCAAATAAAACAGTATACCCGTTCCGGCACCCGGCAACGTCACACCACGGAAAAATAATATAACCAACACCACATACGGAAATAGAGCGGTAAAATAGACGACTTTACCCGAAGATTGTACACCTTTACACAGACACAAGAACACAATGGTCCAGGCACAGAACAGACACGCGGCCAGGGATATTTTTATGGCACCAGTTTCTTCAATACCCGACGAAAGACCCAATACGTAATTCCTATGAAGAAAAGGAATGGGAGTTATGAAGGATTTTAAATTTATTAAATTGCAACTTACGTGAAATACTCCTCTGCTGGTGGCTTCTTTAGAGCATGCAGCGCCAATTCGGTGATATTATGCTCCTCAGCATATGTGGCATTATAACATTCCCTCAAGTAAAAAGTTCCATTTATAGAATCGCATTTATCGGCAACTTCGTAGGAGAAGCAATCTGAAAGTTAAGAATGGGAGGTTATAATTAATTTTTTTAATATTTTACATTTTTGAATACATGGAGATATATTGCACAAAAGATAGACGAGACATAGCATCTCTGGAAGACCATTGAAATTTAATCGGGCGAAAAAATCTGTGATCTACATAGATATTTGAACCAATAAAATACTATTCATATACCATTTTAAAATCTATGAAGAGTTGCATGTCGATTGGGCAGACTTGGAGTTTTCGGTGTTAACATTTATATGAAATCCAGCAAAATTATGTATGGGAGATATATCTAAATCTGAATCGACTTCAACAAAAAATCACAGACATCAAATTGGGCTTAATTCAGTACGCTGTGCAAAATTTTATCTAAATCGAACAAATATTGGGAGTTTTTACATAAAATCGGACGAAACTATATATGGGAGTTTTATCAAACTCTGAACCGATTTCAACAAAACATCACAGACATCAAACCGGATTAAGTTCCGTACGCTGTGCAAAATTTTGCCTGAATCGGACAAATATTGGAAGTTTGGTGCACCATTTACTTAAAATCGGGCAAAATTATATATGGGTGCTATATCTAGATTTGAACCGATTTTTTTCCAATTTCAAAAGTGTTCGTCCTTGTGCCAAATTTCATCCAAATCGGATCATAAATGCGACTTGTAGTGTGTTTACAATTTAACATCAACAGACGGACATGCATAATCGACTCAGAAAATGATTCTATGCATATTCTCAAAAGGAACCATGGGTCTATCTCGTTTCCTTTGCCTGTACCACAGAGTGGTGAAGGATATAGAAACTCCAACGTATACCCGATTACCATGTAATTTTACACAGCTGTAGCATATGTCAAAATGACTTTGAATTGGTTCAGACTTAGGGAAACCTTTATCTGTGATTATTTTTTCACGATTCTTATCAAAATTTTTATATAGAATTTGTGTCAGATGCCTTTTAAAGCAAATTATCTTTTAATTACTATTAAATCTGTTCACTCCATTTTAGAAAATTAAATTTTACAAAACATTGTAACCATAAATCACTTCCTTCTTCTACATCTAACACCAACAATGTTTCCAACAAACTCTTTACAAATATCCCCCAGAACTAACAACTTTTATGGCAATACCCGTTTTTTAAGCAAAAATATCCTTTATTTTGACCTTTTGACCATATGTTATGGTTTGTTTGTATTGTGGTTAATTTTACATTTTAGATTTCAAACAAAATATTTGGAAAAAAGGGCAAACCACAAACAAGCCATTTTCCAAAAAAAAAAAAAAAAACTAAAGATGAAACAAGAAAATGAAAACAAACACACGCCATAATTTTAGGGAAATAAAGGTTTTTTTGGTAAAAATTACCAAACATTCATCAGAAAATTATAATCAGGGTAGTAGAACTGGCTGGTTTTTTAATGTAAGAAAAAACTAAAACAACAATGGAAAAGTTTCACTTCTATTGAAAATTTTGACATAATAATGGCAAAACAATTTCAATAAATTACTAAAATGGTTAGGAATTTTTCTCCAAAAATTGCCTTGCAGGAGGGATAATGGGAATTGTGGTCAGGGGGTTGTTTTTGAAATTGAAATTTAAAGGATGAATTTTTAATGAAGTAAATAAATGAAATTTTAAAATTTTGAAACTTAATAAGTTGTTAGTAAATGTTAAGGTATATTTTTACTGACAGGTGAGCAGTTTTGTGTACACCAAACCAAATTTCCAAGATAATTAAAAATTTGTGGATAAACAGTGATTCTTTACTGAAGCTGTACAGATAGGAAAGGGCATATAAGGGCTGATGAGTCTATGACAGAATGTATAAGTCATAATGGAACTAAATTTTGAAACCGCAGAAAATTTATATCCATAAAAGAAAATCAATTGTAAAAATTACTGTCGCATTCTTAGGCAGAGGTTTTCGTTGTGAAGTATGTTCTATTGTTGATTGTTGGGAGTTGTTTCCATGAGTGGTCCTTTGGATTGAAATTATTCAATATTAACCAAAAAGCAGGAAGTTGGAATTACCCAGGAGATGTTGGACTAAGACCACGAAGGTGTTGACCTGCTTCACCTTTATGACTTTATGATTATGAAGTTGAAACCAACGAGTATGATTACTATCAACACGTATACGCCACCATTTATAATAAAGTTTGTGTAAGTTACTACTGAGTTACTGATGAAATATTTGGAATATATCTCGAAAGAATGTCTTATGACATTGTCTGACAGAAAATTGTGTCTGACAGAAAATTGTCAATATATGCTCATACCTTGAAATAGATCCCCATATACGTGGCCCTATCCATTTTATTATTTTGAGAGCCCAATCCGCATCCACTCTTTATTTTCCAAAGTTGTAAATTCGTATTTTAAATTCATTACGTCGAACTTTTTGTACTCTCCACTATAAAATGTGCTTTCAAAACACCTAAAATACGGTGGAACGTTTATGATTAGGCTAGATCATTGTAAATTGTTACCGACAGTATTTTTTATAGTCTGAGTAAACAAATATCAAATTACAGACTAAGGTTGTTAGTATTCTCAACATACCGAAAGTGGGCGACCCTCATATGGACACATTGTCGAAGCATGGATATATATCACAATTTTTTGTGAGATCCATTAGGATGGATCGTCGAAAATGTCGAAAACATTGGAGAAATGATCGAAGTTTACCGGCACGTTAGCAGTCGTAACATCGCCTAGCAGCACGTCATTCTAGACTTAATTTCAGGGACTTTGGTGCCCATTTACCTAAAATCGGGCGAAAGTATATATGGGAGCTATATCTAAATCTGAACCGATATTCACGAAATTTAACACACATCATTCTACACTTAATTCAGTACGCTGTGCAAAATTTCGATCAAATCGAAAGATATATAGGGACTTTGAGGCACCATTTACCTTAAATCGGCACAAATATATAGGGGGCTATATCTAAATATCAACCGATTTTCACGAAACCTTAAACACATAATTTTAGACCTACTTCAGTCAACATTTCGTGCAAATCGCAAGATATATAAGGAATTTGGTTTACCATTTACATTAAATCGGACTAAAATATGTATGGAAGCTATATCTAAATCTGAACTGATTTTTCGCAATTTCAATAGGGTTCGTCCTTGGACCAAACAGATGAGCTGTGCTCATCTAATTCGGATCATAAAGGCAACCAGTACGTTATTTACAATTTAACATGGACAGACGGGCGGATGGACGGACATGCATAAATCGACTTAGAAAGGGATTCTATGCATATTCTCAAAAGGAACCATGTATCTATCTCGTTTCCTTTTGCCTGTTACAAACATATGCATAAAGACATAATATCCTTTACCACAGTGTGGTCTAGGGTATAATAATAGGATAGATCGAATTCCCATCTGCGAATCCTTGGCCAAACGGAATGAGAATGAGATAGACCCATGTCTTAAACGGATGATGAATGGTGGTCAATGAGAGGTGAAACACCTCAAACGATGGCCAAACCAGGACTGACGGTCAGGAAAGTTCTGCTATGCATTTGGTGGGACTGGAAGGGGATTATTTATTATGAGTTGCTTTCATATGGCCAAACGCTAAATTCTGATCTCTACTGTCAACAACTGGACCGATTGAATATAGCAATTGGCCAGAAACAGCCATAATTGGCCAACAGGAGAGGTGCCGTTTTCCACCAGGTCAACGCACATCTACAGTGATTCGCCAGAAACTTGGAAAGTTTTAGTGCATCCGCCATACAGTCTGGACTTGGCACCTAGCAATTATCATCTTTTTGTTGCATTGCAAAATTTATTTAATGATAAAAATTCGTATCTCGGGATGATTGTGAAAATCGACTACTAGAGTTTTTTTTTATAGATAGAGAGCAGGACTTCTATGAGACAGACATTATGAAGTTACCTTTAAAATCGCAACAAATCATATAACCAAACGGTGCATATTTGGCCCGAAACGGACATTCCGAATCATGCTAAATAAAGTCCTATAGTTCATATAAAAATAATGACATTATTTTTCCCCATAGATCAGTGATAAGTCACCTGTGATGATCTTATAAACGTCTTCTGAATCACCACGATCTTATTTGTATACCCTATATTCTTGATCAGAACACAATATTTCATCGATTTAGCTATGTCCGTCTGTTGAAAATACGATAGAGCTTTCAAAACAATTCGAAATATTTACCAGAGACCCCACAAAGTATATATATTTTGATCAGAATAAAATTCTGTGTCTGTTCATTATTTAAGACCGTGCTGAAACTTTGCATAGACATTGTGAGTGCAACCAGGATATTTGGCATTGCAAATGAGTTAATAAGGTCCACGTTTTCGTGTAGCCCCCATATAATGTTACCCACCCCAATATTCGTTATTTTGGGGATTTTAGCGTGTGTTTTCGGTATGTTCAAGGTTCTATCATAACATAAGTATTTTCCTAGGAGTCCCCATTAATTTTAGTTATTTTGAATGTAAGCCTCTTTGTGGAGGATGTTATATTTGGCCTTTTTTACTTGTTCGTACTTTACAACTTTTAGCCTTCAACGAATACCTTCAGCTTTAGTTTGATTTTCTACCATCTATGATCAATGGTTGTTGACGATGTAAATTGAATCACTATCATTGCATCAAATCTCTCTCTCTCTCTCTCTCTCTCTCTCTCTCTCTTACAAAATAAAGAAAATGTTACCAAGTCCAGATCAAGTTCAAATATGGAAATCATTGTCCACTCCTTCTTGTACCTCCACCTCGTAGTGTCAAAATTTTCAATATTTATAAATCCAATATCAGGTGAATGGAAAGTCCGATTTGAACCAAACTTTGCACAATCTATTATCTTTACCAAGCCTAGATCAAGTCCGATGATGTGGCCCATTGTTTCACTCCTTCTGGTACCTGCCCCAAAAATGGTCAAAATTTACAAAGCCAATAGTAGGCGAATTTGCTGTCCGATTTGATCAACATTAAA